GTGCGCCGGCCGCCGTTGTTCGGCGTGGGGGGAGTGGAACTGGGGAGACCCATGCGCGTTACCCTCCTCCTCCCCCAACTGGATACCGGGCGCGCTGCTAGAAAATAAAATAAAAATAAATAAGTCGAAACGGTTGGAGGAAAAATAGAAATGAAAGTTAGGGACTAAAAAATTTCCCCAAAGTTATGTAACTGCCAGCTGATGCTGAATGCAAATCAGAGCAAGCCGGGAGCGTGTCGCAGCTGACAAGCGCACACCGAGGTTGTGAAGCTCCAGTTGTGTCTGGAGCGAGCATGGGCCCTTCAGCACCTTTGGGCCCAAAGACAGGGCAGCTTCTGCTACAGCATATTCCGTCAGGTTGGCAGCTTTTCAAGTGATTTTGATACGAATGGGTGCTCCTCCTTCCGAGTGCACTTGCCTTTTAGTAATAAAAGCAAAGCCTTATCTTTCAGAAAAGTAAATGGCTTAAATAGTTCTCGGTGAATTCTCACAGAAAATCTGAGCAAGTCTGCCCTCCTTTGCTGTATTTAAAGTAGGAGATCCCAGAGGTTCCCTGATACCCATCAAATGACTAGTCTGAAATGTTGCTTTACTGGGCTTTCTAGTGAAGGGCATTTTAGTGGCTTTTTTGGACTTTTAAGTGAGGTCAGTGGGAAGCTGGAATACGCTAGAAATTCAGGACTGGGCCCAAAGCACGTGTTCTGTCATGTTCTAAAGCTTTTCTTCTTCTTCTTCTTTAATAATAGATTTTATACTTTTTAATACAGAGGTGAAATTCATCAGTTTCATAATGTCATCTGTCAAACATTTGGTTTATGCAGTCATCCATTTCTTGAGAGAGCAGAGTCAGATGGATACTTTCACTCTGGATGAACAGGAAAGCTTGGAAGGTAAGTGATAAAGGTGATAATATGTAGACGTGTAGGCACTATATATATGGACATTAGAATCCATGCTGCATGTTCTGAAAGAAACTGGAATATTATCTGTGAATATGATCAAGATATTTCTATTTCTGAGATTATATATAAAGTATAAAACCTCTCTCTCTCTTAAAGATGTTAGACAGCTGTTAAAATTTGTACAAACTTATTTCTGAGCAACAGATATTTTGTGTCACATTAAGGTAGGGAATGACAAAATATAAACTATGAAAATGATTCAGATACGTCTCCCCCAATTTTTTGCCAGATGATTCTTGTTTCATATTACTTTTATGTTTGGTTTCTTTCTATGTTTTTATGTTTTGGCATCTGTGAACAAAACACAGAACACACCATTCCTGTGAAGAGCAATTTTGGCCAGGGGAAGAGCGAAACAGTAAAAAATGAACAACCGTATATTGGTTTTAGAATATGGGGAAAAACCTCCTGTTTTGTACTTACAAGAATTAAATGTAATTCATGAGGGGAAGCTAAGAGACCTTTAGAATAAGAAAAATAAATACCTTGCAGCACTTTTTTCACATGAATAGTGATTCCGAAGGGCCAAAATATTCACTATTTTCAGCATGGTATAATAGAAGATATATCCACAGAAAGAGGGACTTCTGTGTCTGTTCTTCTGCCAGCAGAATAGGTGAAGACACTCTTTAATCTTTCATTAACCTCTGTAATTTTGTAGTGCCAATTTTTCATTCATATTTGCTGTCATTCCTTTCCCCTGATTCCTAGAGACTTCTTGGGGACTCATAATCACAACATGGAATTAAGCAAAAGAAGAAAAAAAAGATTCTTAATTTCAAAATTGGCTTTTATATCAAATGTTTGAAAGACCTGTGCACTGTTTCAAGCAAGCAGCCTTTGGTGGTTTGACCTCACAGGAGGAGGGATTGGAAGTTAAAGGAAGGCTAGGACCAGTGGTGCAATAAACAGTATCCAGGCAGATGACCACTAAGTTATGTGAAACTTGAGGAATGGGGTGTGGACCTTCCAGAAGCAAAGCAGCAAGTCCTGCTGCTCTGAAGTATACACGTTAAAAGATAAAACCAAAATCTTCTTCTTTCCAGTGTCTATTGGTTTTACAGTGCAGTTGTTCACTAATGTAAGCGAGAAAGAAGCATGTGTGGGACGCTGTTCAAAGGAAATTGCACAGATTTAGTTTTACATCACAATCTGGAATATTTGTACATATGAAAAGTGATAGACAATTATGAATTTAACCTATATCAGTATTTGATGATGTTCCTGCTCACATGATGAAAGACAGCAGTGTTTTTACAAATCAAATGAAAGATGAAGTATATTCCTTTTGTTTTTATAAAACTGATAAACATTGATGGGTTGTGATGTTAGCTGATTTACTTGTCTCAGGGCAGCTTTAGCCAATGATTGTACAAAAGAATCTACAATTTAAAGACCAAATCAACAATTTTCTGACCAGAAAGTGTGCTTAAATAGTGATGTAAAATTTAGCATTTTAATACAGATATGAATTCCTAATTTTAGAGCTTCATCCTGCCAAAAACTTGGTACCATATGCTCTGTGTTAGAGGATCAGAAACAAGCATTTGAAATAATTGATTCATTTTAGCTGTGCAAAATATCTTTACTGCATATGGAATAACCATAGCCCAAATCCCACTCATTGAAGTGGTCAGTGCCAGATGGAGATATATAGGATAAAAAAAATGACTGATGTTGTTATCATCTTGTTTTTTGCAAAAGGATAAAACACTGTATGATTAAATATCTGTGCCAAGAGGTAATTTAAATTGATACCATTCCCCAAGAAACAACAACAAAAAAAAATCCCTAGAACATTGCAAATTGAGTCTTTATCAAAATTGAGGTCTGTCATGCATTTGAACCTTATTTATATTGATAACCTGCATTTTTGGTGTATAAGATGGTGTCAATGATGGGTTAAATTTCTTCTAGGAATGTTGTTGTGCTTGCATGCTGAGCAAAAATGCATTAATTTAAGAAAGCAGAGTAACCACAAGGCAGACCGGAGAGGTAATATATTCCCCTACAGTTCAGGCTCTAGGATAGGTGTATAGATCTCTGGTAGTTCATTTTCAACCCTGTGGTACAAATTAGCAAGTTTACTTTCATGCTAAATTTACATTCATGACTTTAATTTCAGGCAGTCTATTTAAATGGCAGTTGTTTCCCTTCCCTTTTTACAGCTTTTATATATATATATATTTTTATGTGTATGGCACCTATTGCTTTGGGATCAAAGCAGAAACTCCTCAAAAACTGAACAGGAGTGTGATTCTTTCTATGTACTGATTTGAATTTCCCTAAGGTAATATTTCCAGAACAGTGGGATGTACCTTTCAGACCAGGGATGCAGGTAATTCTTGCATTGGGGAAATTTTATGTGTAAGATGAAGCAAGATGACATGGCTAACAGTGCTGTACTTTGGTGATGGGGTGGTGAGGGACTGGCTTTTCACACAAAGACAAATCTTCACTACTTTCTTGGGGCCATGGTTTTACTGCAATACATGAAAACAGGGTAGTTACCGATCTTTTTAACAATCTGAAACAGGGTTTAAAAAAGCTTAAGCTTTTGTTTTAACTTGGGAAAGAACGGACTCCAGTGTAATGCACTGAAGACCTTTTATTGAGCATGAGACAAAACTTATATACTGTACTATACCGGATACAATACCTTATTTGTCTACAAGTATGGGAAACACAGTTACTAAATAAACCAATAATCTAAAGGCTTATATTAAAACTATCCAATCAGCTTCTTGGTCACGTAGCAGCTGTACAGTTGCTTTTGCTTTGTCTGCTGATAGAACATCTGCACTGCCGTCCTTGATGTTGGTTATCTACTAACAAGACGTCCTGTACTACGGCCCTTGAAGCAGGCCTCCGCAAGCTTTGGCCTTGTTTTTATTTTTACATGCATGTTAACCAGTGATTGCTGTGCTATAATAGTTCCAACCTACTAGATTTACCCCATAAGGGCTCTAAGTTTTGTTATACCTGTGATGGACTATAAGGAGTCAGTGTTCTATTTTTCGGTTAAAGGAGAAAAGTAGGAGTTACTTTTAACAACTAATTATTTCATGGAAATGTCTACCAGTAGTAATGATATATTCAGTATTACTTTGTTTAAGCAAAATTTAATCAGTATCGCACTTTGCAAAAATCTCCTTAATGATAAAGAGTTGATGCCACAGACTTAATGCCTTGAGAAAGAAAAAGGATGAGGATGTATTTTAAATGTATACAAAATTTAAAATGAGGTGAGGCATTCAGGAAAGTGAACACCTCCAGGTGAATATAAGTTTGAGGGAATGATTGTTCAGTATATGATAGGTACTGCCTTCCTCTTAAGTCTAAAAAGGATAAACTAGGTATCTAATTTCACTGACTTTGACAGGCTTTATGAGAAGTACTATTAATGTATATGCCATAATTCAGAATAATCAATGCTCACTTTACTATAATTACTGGATGACAAGTTGACCATGAGGCAGCAGTGTGCTCTTGTGGCCAAGAAGGCCAATGGGATCCTGGGGTGCATTAAGAAGAGCATCTCCAGCAGGTCGAGGGAGGTGAT